GGTAAACGTAATCATTTATTCTCTGATCATTGTAATTAATCTGATTCTTGGGCTAAATAAAAGCAAAGCCATATAGTCCATAATGGTAGAAAGTGTTGACTTTAAGTGTAGAGGCTCTTGTTTCAATATTCCCCCGCACGACTTAACCTCTGTAGATGTCATCTTTGTTTGTTTATTTTTTTTTAATCACTAAAATGAAGGGGTGATAATAAATGGACTTTAAGGCTGTTTCCACTCTGATAATCCTATGAAAACTATAGCTTTGTTTTCTAAGTGAAAAATTAATTAAATGACCTTATAACTTCTGGACTCTGTGGTATAGTGGAAAGAATGCTGGATCTGAATTCAGAAGAACTGGGTTCATATCCTTGCTCTGCCATTTACATCTTGTAAGACCTTGGGTAAGTCACTTCAACTCTTGGATCTCAGTTTCATAGTTTATAAAATGAGAAGGTTGAACTAGATAAATTGTAAGGTCCCTTCCAACTCTAAGCCTATGATCCTACAATCAAAACACCTTCAGGAAATATGCAGGACCATGAGCCATTTCAGTGGTGACTGAGGTCTGCTGGTGACTCTATATACTAAAGACATATATTCTTCTCTAAATGCCATTTGGAAGAGGAATATTCAAGGGGAGCCCACTGTCACTCACTTTTCCTCCTGTGTAATGTTAAACTCTTCATCCATATTTCAGATATTTTCTAGTGTCAAATGCTGGAGATGGTAGTTTGTCCTCTGAAATGACAGCAGCAGAGTCTAGTAAAAAGCTCTTGGTCTTGGGCTGAAGCATCAAGGGTGAGTTACCCAAGCCTTCTTCCCCACTCCCCATGCACATAGGAAGAAGTAATTCAATGGAATAGAATGGGGCAGAACAGTACTTAACAGGGTAGATTATTAGAGTTGTCTGACCTTAGAAAGCAACAAATCTAATTTCCTTATTTTACAGATGAGGAAACTGAGAGGCCACGAGATGAAGTCACTTGCCTTAGGTCACACAGTGGGTAAATGGAAGAGCTTGAATTAGAACCCATATCATCTTCCTCAGTATAATGGAGCTACTTGATCAAATATGGCCTAATGAACAGAGCTCTGCAAATGGAGAATATTGGATTCTTATTTTCTCTGTCAAAGTTTTTAGGCAAATCCCTTACCCTTCCTATGGTTTGCTTTCCTGAATATTGGACCTTCTGATATCAAAGGTTGTTGATGGGGAAAAGTAAAATAATATATGTGAGAGCACTTTCAAATAGAGTAAAATCAAATTCAAAATTACTGCTATTGTTATTAATATTATTATTTTATCCAGTGGAATTGACACTCTGTAGAAACTTTTTGAATAGGGTAGGTAGGCACTTTATCTTCCCGAAGAAAGGGAGACAGGGAGCCAAACTGAGTTACAATTCGGACTGAATTTCTTTGGTACCAACAAGGATTTATTTCTCTGGGATTTCCTTAAGACCAACTAGTTTTAACCCAACCCTATCCCCTTCTGAAAAAGCTCCCTTTGCTTGGCCTATTTCAAGCCTACATTGACCAGATGTTGCATTCTTGCAAACCAAATGCTTTTTTTAAAAAAAAGGAATTCTACATAGTGCCCACCTCCTTCCCCTCTTCCCAGCCTCCCTGGATTCCCTTGATCAACACCATTTCTTTTCCTTCTTTTTTGTAAATCTTCCCCCTCCCCCCAACCTATTCTTAACATTGAGTGAGCTTTTCCTGTGCTTGTTTTTCAATGTTAATTAACAAATACCAATTCTCTTCTGTAACATTAAGACAGAATTTGGAGAAACTTTATACTCATTAAGGAAACAAATCCCACACACTTTCCAGCTGTCTCCACCTCTTTGATTATAAGGGACTTTTTGCATAGCATTCCCACATTTCTCCACACCCAACATTTGGTTTTAAAGGTCCCAGCCCAGTACTTGTGAGTTTACCCTCCACCCCCACCTCTGAGCAATATTCAAGATCCCCTTAAAAAAAAGGTTTAAGTGAAGTTTCAATATAGGTTCCTCTTAGGCATCATAAAAGGCAGCATTGCCACATTTGGAGCTTGGGAAGTTAAAAGACATGTGTTAAACAGCTTGAACCTTACTACATGAGTCTCAAAGATACTGCTGTGAATTTACAATTATCTAAATCTGATTTAACCATGGCCTAAAATGGGGCCAAAGAATGAGTGACTATTTCACATAGACAAGAAGACAGCTGGGAGGAGCAAGGTAAGGTAGGAAAACGGAACCTAGAAACCTGATTCGCACTTTGTTAGGTCTATAGCAAAAGCTGAAGACACTAAAAAAAAAAATAACAACCTAGCTAATCTGATGTCCTCCATCTGTTCATAGCCCTTTGAGGCTGACCAGCTATTAAATGTATAATAATGACTGGAGTAACAGGTGCAGGGGAATGGGAAGGTGTGGAGCCAATAAAACAACTCTGTGGCATCTTGCAGAAGTGCTGACCCCCAGCAAGTTTTAAAAATTGTGCCCGGCCAGCATTCATGACATATGTGTGGGAGGCACGATGGCAAGTGGATTTCTTGTGGCAAATGATCAATTACTTTCATACTTATATTCTTCTAGAATTCCCAATTAGTTTCTGACATAATAACTTAAGGCAAGAATTAGAGAGAGATGACTTTGGCAAATTACCCTGTCAATGCCATTCATTTGTTTGATGTCAGTTGGAACCCTTGTCTGAGTAACACTTGTGTTAAAATAATTCCCCATATCCACTGCTGTGACTCTATCATTCTCATCTTTACAAACTTCCTTTGGCTCTCCATTGCCATCTGTATCAAATTTAAACTTCTCATTTTCATGTTGAAGTTTTTCCACTGTAACTCACCCTATGTCTAAAGCACCTGCCAACTCTCTCTTGCTCCCCATGTCAGTCACCGAGCTCTTATCTTTCCCCTTCTCTTTTCCTCCACCATTCTGTCATTCCCATTTAGCTTGTTCATCCTTCTATCTTATTCCACTTCTTTGGGGGGGGCGGTAATCCCTTTTTTTCTCCAACGCTGTGTCAGATTTCAAGTTAGGAGATCTGGTTTTGAATTATCGCCTTGTCAGCAACTTTGAATTCCAGTTTCCTTTTGCCAAAAATAGAGATAATAATACCTACTTCACAGGGTGCCATGAGAAATGTACCTTGTAGACTTTAAAGTATTCCACATACATCAGCCAATATTTATTCCATATTATGCACCATCATTATCCATTCATTTCTTGATCCTTTTTTTCTTTTTGGAATCTTTTCCTGGTCTATAAACCTAATTGATATGAGACTAATAAATGGAAATTCATAATTACGTTCTTTTTATTCTGGGTAATCCACTTGGTATTCTCATGAGGAGAAATCTTTTCTTAGATAAAAGTTATCTTACCATATCTTGCACATTTTTTTCCATTGATACTTCAAATGAAAATAATAGATTGAGTATTGGCTGGGATATCAGAGAGCATATAATAAAATCCTCCCATTTCACAGATGAGGAAATTGAAAGGCAGAGAGGTTGAATGATTTGCCCAAGATAATACAAGTAGTAAGCTACAGAGATAGGATTTGAGCCCAGATTCTTTGACTCTTGAACCAATGCTCTTTCCTCTGTACCATGATGCTTCATTGAATTCTTCTCCTAATTCTCTTTCTACAAATATAAATCATCATCATCATCATCATCATCATCATCATCATCATCATCATTTTCTATCCAGGGAGGTAATGCCAGAGCAAAGGTTGATACATACATTTCATCAGTATGGGAGGCATGCCAGACTCTGGCCACTCCCCTCTTTGAGGGTGTCCTTTGCTCTTAATGAGAAATGGATAGCAGGAAGATTTGTCACCACTCATACAAAAGAGAATCTATGGTTAGCATTCTGATGAACTAGGAACTAGGGGAAACCAGCCTGAATAAATAGAATCATCTGTGACAACCACATGAAAACCAAAGGGCATTGATCTATGGGGCTGGGAGTATAAATATTTTAAACCTGTAATTTCATCAGTATAAGGAACTCTTAGTGTGGAAACTCCCTCCATCCATGGAGATCAATAACTCATGGGGCACTTAGTAGTAAATTGACTCGCTGTCATGGTCATATAGCTAGTATAGTTAGTATGCCTCATTGAATTCTTCTCTTAAAAATATATTCTCTTGACACAAATGTAAATTATCATCACCAGGTCTTCCCAACTCTGAGACTAGTGCTCCTTGTTTTATATAATGCTATCTGTCATGGACCTTTCTCAATATAGACAACTCTAAAGGGCAATGGAGCTGTCTTCCAATGAGCATTTCTCTAGCCAATGAGGAAGTAGCTTGCTGAAGCTCTCTTGTCAGCTGATTTTTTTTTTTTTTGCCGTCAGTTTGTTCACTCAGCTCTCTCAAAGCTGATTTTTCTACACCCAGTCAAATTTTCCATTGCCGTTTTGTAAAGTAACACCTTTCTTTACACAAATATGACCCTCGATCTCCTTTGCACCGCCAGGATTATACAACAAACCCCATAAGCATGTCAACACTCTTCTCCAATTTGCTAAAGTTTAGCTTAGAGAAGGGAATATGACAGCTGTCTTCAAATACCTGTCAGACTGCCACATAGAAGACAGGTCAGACTTCTTGTCTGTTGCTGCTTGACTGAGACAGAGCAAGCATCGATGGGAAGAAACCAGAAGGAGACACATTTTAGCTTAGGACAATGAAGAAAATTCTTGCCATTGGCCGCTGTCCAACAGTAGAAGGGATAGCCTTAGACGATAATGAATTCCTGGTTATTCATTGAAGTGAAGATGTTATAGCCGTCACAGCAAACACTATAAACAGGAGACCTGCACCTGAGCAGGAAGTTAGACTTAAAAGACCTCCAAAATCTCAACCAACTCCGAGATCCTGTGAAAGTTCTTTCTTTAATCAAAACAAATATCAATGTGGATGTGGTATTTGAAAAAGAGAAATTTAATATATTTAATCTTATTTATACATTTCCCCTAAATTACAAAGTCAACAGGCTGCAAATATATTCTGCTACAAAGCTTTCTGTAAGAAATATCTCTATAAGAAAATACATCTCATTAAACATTCCCTGTAAATAAATTACTTCAAATAATCATTTTGAAGGGTTAGGGTAGAGCAGACACAAGGGAAGTCATGCAGAAGCCAGCATATAAATGTAATTGATGCATAGGAAATGTTTCATGGAAATGTTACATTTTTTTCACTTCTCCAAACTCACAGAAGCCTATTTGTACACACTCGGAATCCTACTTACATAGATTGGCAAATAGTCTATAACTTTTTTTTTTAATCAGACATGTGGGGAACACTTGTAAATCTTAATCATTCTATTTAAGTGTGGGTGGGAGATTAGATTCCCAACTGATATGCAGGCTCAGTTCCAACATCTCATGAAAAAAAATTGAGTTTGAGTCAGCAGGTGGGGATCAGACAGTTCAGAGAGAAGTAATTAAGAGGTGACTGTGGATCTACAAATAGGAAAGTCAAAAGCTGTTTTTAAAAGCATTTTCTTCCTTCTTTTTATACTCTAGCAATGTTTAGAATGAAACCCTAAAACAGGGAGAAGATAACCTTAGAGATTTCAGAAATAAGAACATCAGTAGATTAATAGTGTGGTTGATTTATCTCCATGGAGAATGAAAAGCACAACCTACTTATTTCATAATATAAATTGCTAGAGAGAAAAGTTCACAAAGAAATGATAATGGTGATATCTACCATATCAAGAAAGTTGCATTATACACTAGAATGTAACTCTGATGCTGTCCTTGGTGGGGTTTTGACATGGCACTACCTTGTAATAAAATCCTTTAGGTACTTCAGCAACTAAACCACTTTTTAGTGGTTTAGAGGCCTACGATGCCTCTCCCTCCACTTATAATAAATTCTACTCAGTGGAAAATATCATGGAAAATTGGCATTCTTCATCCACTTGGCTTTTCTGTGTGGATAGTTAGCCCAAATGCTTCCAAGTGATTACAGATTTCATTGAGGAGGCTTTGCAGTACAACAGGACTTGATGCAATCTGCACAAGCACTAGTGAGACTCATATGTCCTACTTTCACATAGGTCATATCTTCATAAAGTCTAATATTTGTGCTAAAAGATGAAAATTCAGCCAATGACTCAGAAATTAGGTTAAACAGCTGGATACTTTCCTGACTGTTTTCCCTTTCCTCCTCTATGCTTTGATATCATGTAAAAACAAGCAAAAACTTTTCCACTTCTTTTCATTAGAAGTGGAAAGTATGTGATAAAGGGTTGGATTGAGGAGATAAATGAATTGGGTTAAAGTTTTTAGAGACTATGGAACTATAGAAAATAGTCTGAGATCCTGAAAGCGTAATTGGTTTTCTTCTCAATTTTACCTATACTACTTTGCATAACTTCAGCTTTTTGCCTGTGAATATATTTGTTGGTCTGAGTCTCTGGAAAATTAAAGAAGTTGATAAGTTTAAAAAGAATTATTTTCTCCTAACCTTACTACCTACCACACTGGGTGAAAAGGATGAAACCTGTATTCTTTAGACCAGTTTCCTTTCTTTCTTTTTTCTTTCTTTCTTTCTTTCTTTGTTTCTTTCTTTCTTCCTTCCTTCCTTTCCTTTAATTTGACAGGTGTAACCTAGCCAGGAAAACCACCCATAAAATAAGAATTGAAATTAGGTGTAATATAACAAGATTCCTTCTAAATCAGGAGTTATTAGTTCTATATAGAAGAAGAAGAAGAAGAAGAAGAAGAAGAAGAAGAAGAAGAAGAAGAAGGAGAAGAAGAAGTTCAGCCATTTTGAAAGTGTTGATTAGAATTTTAATAGCTCTCTTTGGAATAAATTCCCTTCCATCTGACCACGAACAGCATTTTAAATGAAATTATGGGCACTAGATTGTGAATGCAATTCAGACACTACCTGCCTTTCATACCATTTCTCTAGGTCTTGTCATTTTCCAGCATCTGGCATGGTGCCAAAGTGGACTTCAAGAATGGTATTTCATTCTAGTCTGGCTTCATATAGAAATTCAGTTTGTTCATTGTTTCAATAGCCATTAACACCCCCATGGAAACCTATCTTGTGGCACAACCTAAATTCATGGGAAGACACATGATAAATGTCAGTAATTTCCACTTCGTGCTTTTTTTTAATAGCATTTTCACAAATGTTTACATTATTTACATAAACAAGTTTGCATAATGGAAACACTCCAGCACTGGGCATTGGCCAACCATTCCAAACCACTCTGGGGGACTTTGGTAGTTGATTGGTTTCTTTTCCTTTTTTGGTGATCTGTACTCTTATCACAATCCTCATTTCAGCCCTCTTGCTTTGTTACCACCCTTCTTTTCCACCATGCCATAATGCATTAAATACACAAATTCACAGTCTACTAGGGATGTTTTCCTCATTTTGGGTCATATTTTCTGACACACATGGAGTCTGGCTTTGGAGGAGTAGGTGGCATCTTTCCATACTTTGCAAGACAGGCCTTTGGCACAGTCACACCGCTGAAAGATCTCCAAGCCATGAGAGCCCTTCTTACGCTGCTTGGTGCACACCTCACCCTGATGTAGCACTGGTTTGCAAATCTTGGTCCAGAAGTGACGAGCACAGCAAAATCCTTCCATGCAGTCTGATGACCTTAAGCAAGGGTCCCCTTCATGTCCTGAGGTGATAAACGAGACGTGTTACTCCCTAGTTTTGGTAGCAGTTCTTTTAAATCGGGCAGCATGGTACCATGACAAGAACCCTAACTCTGGAGTTTGAGGATTTGGATTCAACTTCCATCTCTGATTCTTTGCTAGCTACATGATCTTGGGCAAGTCACTTAACAGCTATGGACCTCGGTTTCCTCATCTCTAAAAGGAGGAGGTTTAAATAATAGTCTTTAAAATTACTTCCAGCTCCAAATCTAGGATCCTAAAACATTAATAATTTGGAGCCCTCTTAAATATTCTTATGCACAATATTTTCCATATGAATATTGCTGGCTATTTAAATATATTTGGCGTATTTTTTTTCTATCTCTACTCTCAGAAACCCATCACTGTCAGGTTTTGATTACTAAAGGGCTGATAATCCTTTTTGTAAAATATTCAAGTCTCCACCCTATCCCACTCCCACTACTTTTCCATATTGTCTTTATCCTTATCGTTTCCTAATGTCAAGAGTATAAAAATAGTTGAAACACAAACCAGTCAATGTCACGCCTCATTGGAGGCTCTAAGAAAGTGAGATTGGCAAAACTTTGACATTCACAGATAATTCCAAAACCTCATTTCCACATCATTATTTCCATTATTCATATCAGCTCTGTATTTCATAAATAAGGGTGCTACACACCCATCATAAGAAAAAGTTGGAAATATAGGGATGAGGCCAAGGGAATTACTCAGGTCAAGAGGTGCCATCCATTTAATATAATAACTCCCATTTTTATATAGCCTTAAAATTTACAGAGCATTTTTCTCACACCAATTCCATGAAATATAGAGAGTAAATATTATTATTCCCATTTCACAGATGAGAAAGTGAAGCTTAGTTAAATTGCCATTTCCCCTGGTCATAAAGGAAACAAATACCACATATGAGTTTTAAATACAGTTGTCCTGACTCGACCCTTAGCGCTCATTCATACCACACTATAGGAGACCTTACCAGAAGTAAACTGTGCTATGGTATGATTTAGGGACAATTTCCTGATGGACTGAAAATGCTGCCGAATCTTGTTACCTAAGAATGCCACCCTACCCCAAGAAAAGGTTATAATAAATGAAAAATTGGGAAGTTTACTGAAATGGAAAAAAAAAGATGTTATTTAAGTGGTCCTTACTAAGCTTGAAATAAAGGAGAATTGGAGAGCAAGGATGTGATAGGCATTTTTCAGCAATGTTTTGGGGAACCATGGAACATGAGCACTGATTGCTCCAGCATGACCAATTGTTAGTGCATATCATATTGTAAATAAGAAATTAATATTAATAAAATGAGATTAAAATCTTGCCTTTAAAAGTATCAGATGATCTTCATAAACTATCTTCCTAAATTCTAAAGGACTACTTCTTTACAATCTATTTTCAATTCAATTTGATGCAGCAGACATTTATTAGTCAGTCAGGCAATACACATTTAATAAGCACCTCTTATGTGTCAGTCAATGTGTTAAGCAGTAAGACTGTTTTTGTTGTTTAGTTATGTCTGACTCTTCATGACCCCATTTGGGATTTTCTTGGCAAAGATACAGGAGTGGTTTGCCACTTCCTTCTCTGGCTCATGACTAAGGCAGACAGGGTTAAGTGATTTGCCCAGGGTCACACAGCTGGTAAGTGTCTGGGGTGGGATTTGAACTCATGAGGATGAGTCTTCCTGACTCCAGGTCTGCCACTGTAATACGTAGCTACTCTAAGTACTGAGGATACAAATACAAATAACTAGTTATATTTATGCACTTTACAGCAGCTAGGGATGATAGAGTGTGGGACCTAAATCAGGAAGAATCATCTTCCTGTTCTCCTGGTTCTGCTCACTTCACTTTGCATCAGTTCATGTAAGTCTGTCGTTTTTTTTTTCTGAAATTCCCCTGCTCACCATTTCTTGTAACACAATAGTATTCCATTACATTGATATACCACGTAATATGTGCCTCTTGATTGACTGATGCTATATTCAAGACAACTATCCAACATTATAGGCTGCAGAACAGGTGCCAATCTTTATTTCTCGACTTCCACAAATCTTCAAGACACTATGTTTGTCAATGGGGACATAAAGAGGAAATATAATGCATTCTTTCCATTCAATAAACTAATAATCTATCAGGGTAAATTAGAACCTCACATAGGTATAAGAAAAGGTAGAATGAGACAAGTGAAAAGAAGTCTAAACAAAGAGCTATGTGTATATTGAAGGAGATATTACTTCTGGAAGGTATATCAGCAAGAGAAGAAAAGCCAAGTCAGTTAGACCTTGAGGGGTTTCTACTGATACAAATCAGGGGCCTGGTGGTGGAGGGAATCTTGTCCTGACCTATGAGATGGTTGTTTATTTATTTGGCTGACCTACAAAAGAAACCAACAAAGAAAAAAAAAACAAACAAAAACACATAGCAACTTTTGTAATCCAACCTTTTATGTGTGACAGCTTAGAATGTGGTCTTCCTAGATTCTGCCAGCCCAAGTCATGGTGTGAGTAGTGACCATGATTGCGATCTCTGTGTCGTGTGCCATCCAGTGCTGGGATGTGAGGAGTTAATATGCTTTCCGTGACTGGAATACAGAGACCTGGCAAGAATGATGGAAGAAGTTAGGTTAATTCATCTGTATACACTAGTGGTTTTCCATCTCTTTATCCAGTCATACAACATCAAAAACAGAAAAAAATTGATAAATGACATTCTTCAGCAATCAGCCAATCAACAAGCACTTATTAAGCACCTGCCATTTGCCAAGCAGCGTGCTTTAAGGAAGAAGGAGAGAAAGAAAGAAAGGAAGGAATGAAGACAGGAAGGAAGGATGGAGAAAGGGAGGGAGGGAGGAAAGAAAAATGAAAAAAGAAAGAAAAGAAAGAAAGAAATAAGAAAGGAAGGAAGGAGAAAAGGAGGGAGGAAGGGAGAAAAGAAAGAAAGAGAAAGAAAGAAGGAAAGAAAAGAAGGAAAGAAGAAAAGAAAAGAAAGATAGAAAGAGAGAGAGGGACAAAGAAAGAAAGAAGGGAAGGAAGGAAGAGGGAGGGAAGGTAGGAAGGGAGGAAGGGAGGGGAAAAAAAAGAAGGAAGAAAGGCTTTGTCAGAGAGTTTCATTCCAAATTTGGCCAATTCTCTATCTTTTGCAAACAATATAAGCCTAGTCTATAGTGTGTTGTAGAGTGGAACGAGCTGTCTCCGGAGTCAGAAGATCCCACTTCCAAAGCTTACTACCCATATGTTGGACAAATCATTTAACTTCTCTGAGTCTCATTTTCCTCGTCTGTCAAACAAGAAGGTTGGGCTAGATGGTCTCTGTGGTCCCTTCTAACTCTACCATCCCATGTCACTTCTCAAACATCAATGAGTGTATTAACAACCTGGTGAAGAATCTGTGCATCTTCTTCTTCATATTGCCCATCGATACCAGCAGAACAAATCATCCCAGATCCCAGGAACAGCCACGGTATAGGACTGTGTATAAATTTGTTCATCTGCATATGTCTTTGATTACTTTCAAAAGCCAAAGATGAATAGTTTGCATGCTATTGGTTTGTATTCTCTGTAATTTCTTCCCACTCCTTTCAACAGACTAGATAATCACAAAGGACCACGTAGAGTAAATTCACTGAGATCCATGGACATGGGCATTGTGAGGTTCAAGTGAGAAAATGAACATCAAGCACTTTGTAAACCTTAAAGAGCTATATAAGTGGCAGTTGTCTGTATTATTAATAATATCAATTTCATTAATTAATAATAATATTATTATGAGCCTAAAATGGTGATAACTCATACTCTGAGCCTTGTCCTGTACTCTTGCTGAGCCAACCAATGTTTATAGAGCAATACAGGTGCATTCTGGCAAATGTTAACTACTAATGGATGGTTGGGGGTTGGGGGTTAGGGACAGGGCAGAGGGTACAGACACAAACTTTTCACTTTAAGCTGCATTGTTAACACTTACTTAAGTCTAAGCAATCAACAAAATGATAAATTGAACCCTGTTCTACAAGGGATGGTTTCTGAGGTGTCTGTTCTCACTCTGAAAGTTTACTAATCTCCAGCTAGCTGGTTAGAGCTGGCTCCAGCACACCACTGTGCAAACAGTTACAGAGCTGCGTCGTGTGTCCTCCTTTTTCCAGATCCAAATACCCTTCCTGTGGGAGCCAACGGCACTGAGAAGAGAGTGGTTTTGATCTCAGATACCTAGATCAAAGTATAAACAGAGAAGGATCCTAGGATTATAGATTTAGAAATGGAATTGGATGTCCAGGGTAATTTACTATAATCTCCTCATTTTATAGATGAAGACACTAAGGGATGACTTGCCCAACATCATGGAGCTAGGAAGTAGAGGAATAAAGATTCCATGACTTCTGACTCCAGATCCAGAACTCTTTCCACTACTCTAGCCCATCCTGATAATAGCTCTTATTTATATGGCACTTCAAAGTTTGCAAAGCTGTATAAATGATCTCACCCGATCTTACTTACTCTGTTTCATTTATAAATATTCTTAATCTTAGAACAATCTCTGTTCTTTGATTGCTTTCCATAGATAAGTTGTTATTTGGGCCTTTTTAATGGAAAAGCACATTTAGCTGTGCATATGAAATGAATCATTAGAGGCTCAGCATGAAGGGAACAGAATAAGCATTTTTTTTTTTTGGTGAGGCAATCAGGGTTAAGTGACTTACCCAGGGTCACACAGCCAGTGAGTATCATATGTCTGAGGCCAGATTTGAACTCAGGTCCTCCTGATTCCAAGGCCAGTGCTCTATCCACTGTGCCACCTAGCTGCCCCAGAACAAGCATTTCTATAGCACCTACTATGTGCTAGGCACTGTGCTAAGTGGTTTTTAAAAACATTAGCTCATTCGATCCTTACAACAATCCTGCAAGGTAGGTTCTTTTATTGCTATTTCCAATTTACAGTGGAGGAAACTGAGGCAAAAAGGATTTAAGTGACATGCCCAGGGTCATACAGCTAGTTAGTATCTGAGTCCAGATTTAAACTCTGGTCTTTCCAATACTCTATCCCCTACATCTACTCACTTAATAGGCACAATGTAGCATATAGCACAAGTAATAATGTCCAAGAAAGGCAAGCATGAGGTAAATTCTTTCTTAATCTTACAAATTAGGCAGCTAACTGTCACTGAGGATAGATAAGAGTGTTGGACTCGGGAGTCAGGAAAACCTGAGTTCCAATCCTGCCCCAGACACTAGCCATGTGTGACCCTGCGTATATCCGTTAATTCAGGCTTAGTTTTCTCATCTGTTAAATGAAAATAATAGCAATACCTACCTTGTAGAATTGTGAGATTCAAATGAGATAACTTATATTAAGTGTTTTGCAAACCTTAGGTGCACACACCCACTCACTCACCCACCCATACACACACAAAGTTTTAATTAAGTTTTATGCTGAGTGAAAACTAGCATCTATAACTAGCTAGCTAGTTAGCTATACAGATAGAAATAGAGATAATATAATAAAGATATATATCTTTAAAAAGATAATATAAGATAAATGTAATAGATATTATTATTATAGATAATAGATATCTATATTATTATATAGATAATATAATAAAATATAATATATAGTTATAGTTAAATATATATAACTATATATACAGTTTTAGTTACAGTTATATATACACACATATATACAGTTAGTTACATATACATACATACATATATAGTTATATATACACTTTATATAGTTATATGTATGGTTATATATGCTTATATAGTTATAAATTATCAATAAGTATATATTGATAAGTATATTGATATAACACTAACATTTATGTGGATAATTATTTATTATACCTTATATACACCTTAATGTATATACCTTATATACATCTTGTATGATATTTATGTTATTTATAAAATATATAATTTATATAATAAATAACATAATATGTAATTTATATGATATACAATAAATAATATAATTTATATAAAATAAGTAATATATAAAGGTATAATTACATCATGATATATTCTACATATACGTATACTAGCAATTAGTTCTCACATGATTTTCCACCCATCCCACGCTTCTGACCAAAAGGAGGAATTGCCCAAACTTTAAATTCATGACTCCTCGGTAATAAAGTGAGTCAATCTTTGGGACGTGTGGAAAGAGAAGAGGTACACTAGGAGAAGAGCCCTCTGCTGTACCATTGTTGCAGCGGGTGCCAGGACAGCACATGCCGTCTCGATGACAGCGTTTCTTTTTCCTCCGGCACACCAGGCAGGCTGAAGAACCCTGGTGGGGACTGCTGCAGTATCTTCCGACTTCACACTCCTTATCGCTGCTACAAGGGTAGGCCTGTAAACAATTTAAAAAAACAGAATTATGGTCAGATTATAAAATGCATCTGGGGAAGAAATAAAATCACAGAGTCAAATAAATAACCCAAATATTTCACAATTCAATCTAGAAAAATGAAGTTAATATGGTATTAAATATATCTCTTATACAGTACTAATCGCTCAGTGAAACCTTAATATTAATTGTTGATACTAGGGCAGATTGTTTCAATGAAGAAGGTTGAAAAAAATCTTCCTTTTCTAGGAACTCTATTATTGGACTTACAAAGGCTATTGAGCAGTGAATAAATTCTAGTGAACTTTAACAAAATGGCAGTTGTGGCCAGGAACTGAGTCATCACTGATTTACTACATAAGTTTTGAGGTCTGTCAGTCCCTAGTGTAGCTTTATCTATTTGATTGTGTTATGAAGAGAATTGACTGAAAATCCATCACACTGGGATAGGCCCAAAACAAAACAAAAGGAATGACTGATATCTCCTTGTTGGAACAAGAATGGGTCACCAATCATATCCTGCACAGGAGAAGCAAATAAGAGCTTCTCTGAGATGCCATGGGCCAAAGTGTGGCTAGGCTAGAAAGCAAAGGAGAGTTGAATAGAGTTGGAGTATAAGATCGATTTAAAGGAGCAGAGCTGGGAAAAGGCAAATGGGGCTGCCTTTCAAATTAAATCATCATGTTGCTTATTAGACAAAAAATAGGTTCATTCAACAATTTGACCATTTGTTGCATCTACACAAGGTTAGACCCATCCTACAGCTTAAGTTACCTTCGAGTAACTCAGTCAACAAGCATTTAATGCCTGAATAGTCACTGTCCTAAGAATTAGATATACAAAGTAAGCCACAAATAACTAGCTAAATGAATGAATGAACGAATAAACAAATCAATTAACAAATACATGAATGAATGAATGAATGAATTAAAAAAATAAGTGAATGAATGAATGAATGAAGACTTGGATTACTGCATAAATGACTTCTGGGCTCATATTCAGTGGACCAATTAAGTTTGCATGTCACCAGAAAAAAGAAAGTTTTGTAGTTTCTTACATTATAATAAAATACACAATCCTATACAACCCTAACTCTTTGTTATTGCATCCCATTCTCTCTCTGAGGTTCATCGAAGTCAGGATTCATAGCACTTGAGAAATTCCTTATTATTTTAATTTCTGCTAGTTAGAACACCAAAAGGAATTCTTTAGAATATTATATTTTCTATCCTGAATTGAATTATATATTAAGACATATTTCTAATCATATTAATTTCAATAAGTCACTTCACCTCTCTGCACTTCAATTTCCTCATTTGAAAATTAAGGAGTTAGACAGAATGATCTCTGAGATCTGCCATCCTCTCATGAAATTATTTTTCATGTATTGCTTGAGGTAGCATGTGGTAGGAGGGGGATCAGCAGAGATTCTGAAGATCAAGGATTGGAGTCCCATTTCTGTCACTCTTAAACTGTGTGACCTTGACTTCAATTGTATCCCCTATAAAAGGTAGGTGACACCTGTACTGACTATCTCCCAGGACTCTGGTGATCAATCACTAGGCTGAAAAGATAGAATGATTGTAAAGGGCTTGCCACCAGTATGTGATAGAATAAATTTGAGCTTTTGTTCATTTGTCTTAGAATCACAGTTCATGTCATATTTGATGTTCCTTTGCTTTCTCAGATTTATCACTTCTCTCTTCTTTTCTGTACCTTCCTCTTTTCCCCCTACTTGTATGTCTTCTTCCCCTCACCCCCATGGTGTACATAGATGCACATATTATCCAAGTCAGTCAGTAGCTTTTGTTGTCTTTAGTTTTCAAAGTAATCCCTTGAAGACACCATTGATGAATAAGATTCAGAAATAGAATTCTGCATTTTGGGAGAAATCATCTTGGAGCATCATTATAATTTGCTTCTTCCCTTTACCCCCACACACCACCAGCTTACCCCAAAGAATGAACCCAAGAACACATGGTGATTTCTAATAGTGAGTGGTTTTTTTTTAAAACATTGTACAGTGATAACTTCTGATGAGTACTTTATGATTTGAAGAGTAGTGACCCATAAAGATGGGCTTGCAATTCATCTTTCCAACCAGTAACTCTATCGTGAGGATTGGGGAAATCTTCTTGAGGTTTCTGACCATCTATCAAGCTTCTTTTTTCAGGACATAAAACAAAAATGCCCCCCTACCCTCTCTCCTTCTTCCTCCCTGCCCCAAACCCAGCTATCCACCCAAGTACTTAACTCCTTTGGAAATAGGATTCACATGTTTCTGATTCATTTACACTTAATTTGTTAAATTGTTGTTTTGCAAGAGACATTTGATGTCTCATACAACTTTTTGATGCCTCATTTCCCCCCTTAAAAATAGGTCACATCCTTCCAAAGGAAAACAAATATAATTACCCTCCCCTTTTAAAAAGAGACTATAGTCATTGAAGAAACAACATAATTTACAGAGATTTTGAACTTACTCCAACATTTGTGTCCCTATTTTCTTTTAGATGGATGTATAAAACCTCCAATACTTTAGATGTCTATGATTAATGATTTCTTTTTAAATCAGGGTGGATGATCCTTTTGTTGGTGCGGATAAAAATCCCTCCTTGTCTTAGCAGAGGATAGACTTTTAGGGCTAGAATTGATTTTAGAAGCTATCTCGATTAAGAATCGTAACATTGTATTTGAAAAGACTCCTCTCCTGTTCTCTCCTCTCCTGTTTTGTCCTTCCTCTCATCTCTTCTCCTCTCTTTAGATAGTTGATATGAATCTTTCATGACAATGTAATTAGGTAATACCATATTTAGAATTTAAACCCAAATATTCTGGTATTCAGAACTTTTTTATTTGGATGATTTTATCCTCAACATTCTCTACTAAATCCTCTGCTGAAATACCATCATCGCAAGGAAATAATCCAGGTCCTAGAATACTCTGCTCTTGATCACGAATTCTAGCAGATCCTAATCAAAACAGAAGCTCATAGTCTGATAAGTGGAAGGGACCTCAATGGTGAAATAGTCCAGTTCATAAATGAAAGGAATCCCTATTATAATATAGATGCTGACAAATGGTTGTCCAGCATCTGCTTGAGGGTGAATCATCCCTTGAGATTCATAGATTTTGGAGTTGGAAGAGAACTTAGAAGTCATCAAATCCAAATCCCTCATGTTTAACAAATGGGGAAACTTAGACCATGAGAGTTTAAGGACTTGCCCAAGGTCACACAGGCAATGAGGAGCAGAGCTGGGATTTGAATTCAGTTCCTCTGGCTCAAAATTATGATTTGAAGAGTAGTGACCCATCAAGATGGGCTTGCAATTCATCTTTCCAACCAGTAACTCTATCATGAGGATTGGAGAAATCTTCTTGAGGTTTCTGACCATCTATCAAGCTTCTTTTTCCAGGACAAAAAACAAAAGTGCCCCACTTTTGCTCTTTCCACTACACACTATATATTACTTATGGATGTTCTTAACTGTTAGGATTTTTTTTCTGACATCAAGCCTAAAATAGGCATTGTTACCACTTCAGCCTATGGCTTCTAGCTCTTCTCTCTGGGGCCAAAAAGAACCAATCGAATCCATCCTACACAAGACAATCCTTCATGTACTTGGACCACTTTGAAAGGTTTCAAGTGAAGGCTGGGCAATGGGCAAAGTATGTACAACCAAAGACTAGCCTGTCCAGGTGTGGTAGAACTCAGCACCGAGGTGACTACAAGGTGACTAATATCTCAGCCACAGTTCTTTCTGAACGATCTTCTAAGTTATTGAAGGATTCTAATCAATATCCCAATGTTGTGGTCAATGCCCCAGGCCTACTTGAAGTTCTGTAAAAAACTCCCATCTCTGTGAGACCTTCTGTGCTGGTTACCATGCCTGCATCCTCACCTCCAACTGCTAGTTTTCTTCACTTCCTTCAAGGCCTAACTCAAAGCCCACCTTCAGCAAGATGTCTTTTCTGGTCCCTACCATCCACCCCAACAGATAATAATAACCTTCCCCTTTCAGACTACCTTAGGTTTGGTATAAGTATATTAGAGTGGTAGTACAGTAGATAAGACCTGGAATCAGGAAGAAATCAGTTCAAATCCAGTCTCAGACACTTCCTAGCTATGTGACAATGGGTAAGTCATTTAACCTGAGTTTCATCATCTGTAAAATAGGGATAATAATAGCACCTACTTCCCAGGGTTGTTGTGAGGGTCAAATGAGATAATAATTGCATGTACACAGTGCTTGGTATATAGTAAGTGCAATATAAATGTTAGTTATTATTATATCTTGTGCAATCTGATTATTTATATGTTGTCTCCTCCACTAGAATTTGTGCTCCCTGAAGACTGGGAGTGTTATGTTTTGTTTTGATTTTTTTGGTCTTTTTTTTTTTTGTATCTCTAGTGCTTAGCACAGTATCTAGCAGATATTAACTGTTTATTTAATAGCTGAGTAGCACAGTGATTGAAGGGTCTAGAGTCAAGATGACCTGGGTTCAAATCTAGCCTCAGACATTGACTAGCTGTGTGACCTTGGGCAAGTCACAACCCTATTTGCCTCAGTTCCCTCATCTGTAAAATAAGGTGGAGAAGGAAAAGACAACCTATTCTAGTATCTTGGCCAAGAAACCCCAAACAGGTTCACAAAGAGTAGGATATAACTAATAGATTGAACAATAACAACAATAATTATTGACTGACTGGGAGTGGGGGAAGGGTGGAGGGAGGAGAGAGAGGGGGAAGGCACAGGAGGGGAAAAAATCCACAGTATTGAAATTTAGGATCCTAGAAGTATTGGCTTCAATTTAATCTTATCTTGAGTGGCTTTCAAATTATCTCTTTTCTTGTAATCTTACATGAAATGAGAGTACCTCAGCCCAAAGTCCCATAAAACCAGAGATAGTGGTCATGGTTAAGGTGAATAAACAGACAGTATTTCCTGTCTGCGAGAGCTGTACTGCTTTCTCAGCCTGTTGGTAATAGGATCCTGTCTTCT